AGTATTCATTTCAACTTAGTTGTAAAAAAAACACAAAAAAAACACAAAAAAAGAAACCATCAATTGAACATGCATGTTTCAAGTATCTTTTTTTGCTTTTCTTCCTTTTGTTCCTAATGTATATAAAAATTGATTGAAAAAATTACAGAAACTTTATTTCAGATTAATATTGGATAGATATTTGTATCATCTTCTCCTGGAGAAAATCTGCCTGAATATTTTTTATTATTAATTTACTTGTGTATCCTTTTACAAGTTATATAGAGGTTCTTATACCTTTATTCTATATTCAACATTTTGTTTGCATAATTAATATTCATCAACTTGTTATAATTACTGATGGTCAGAAAAGAAAATGTGCTCTCCTGTGAACCTGAAGTCCCAATATGTACACCTATTGGTACAGATTCCAAAGAAACTAATATATAATATTATTTTTTTAAAGTCTGTTTTTATCTAGCATTTTACATAAACTAAATTATTGTTTTCCTTGGGTAAAAAATAAGAATTGCTGTTTTGACATCCAGAGTAAGTAATTGGATTAGTCCAATATAACTGTTACTTTGCCAAAGAAGAAATAATAAATGTATGATCCAAAACCTTGTGGATTTTCAAGGCTAGAAAATATATATTGTTAACAATGTTGGAAAGCTAGACTTCTTAAGAGAGGCAAGAAGAGATTCATGGGGTGTATACTATTAGTTTCTGGGCACTAGAATGAGTTTGCATCCAAAACCAAATTTTAAATTTTATAATTTTTATAGAATACCTTAAATATTGTAATTACTACCAGATATTTTTGAGAAAATGTATGTCCTTACTCAGACATTTCTATTTTGTTTGTGCATTTCTGGACGCACATGTGCAAATTCTTGATTTGCACACAAATTCTAGATGTGCATAAAAGAGAGGCACCATTACCTTGCTAAGTGTGCATCAAATTGGGAGATTTTCACAAGCATATTCTGTATCTAATTTCCTACATCCGGCATTTGGCAAGCATTCTATAGCACAGCAATTCTGTAACAGTATTGTACCAAACACATTAGCAATTAGATCAATTGCCATGTTATCCTAAAAGTCCTTAGTAGACCTAAATATTTAATTTAGTAACAATGAAACAGAGGAGACCAACATCATGAAAAAAGTAAATATCTAATTAGTAACATTTCTCCCAAGGAAAAGTTACAGCAAAATATCACAAAATATAATCTGCTTACTAAAAGGTCAATAATATGAAAGAGAAGTTACAAACTTGTAGACACAGACTAGTCTTTGTAAATTTCTTTTTTAAGGATTTGTGTCTCATTCGCTTTCCAAACATTCATGACGCCTGTTTGACTATCCCTCAGTCACAGCTGTGTAAACAACAGACTTTAAACTGCTGGACAGATAATGGGAGGAGAAACCAACACATCAAATATAAAATAGGAATAAGTAATTGCACAATGAGGTTGTTTCTGCTTCCCCCTGGGGCAGCCTCTGGTGCTCTTTCCTTGGAAAATGGTGTGAAAATTGCCATGGTTTTTCTGCTATTTAAGCCTTTGGCTTTGAATCAGCTAGACATGTGGCAAATGTCCAAAGAAAATGTATAATTTGGTGGCTAAAGTACTGCTCTCTCACCTTGAAATAACAGATTTAGTTCAGCTGAGTTTCTATGACACATGATAGTCTTAATTTGGTTCTTACTGGACAGCAGTTGATACCACAAAACCACCATACTTTATGAAATTCAGCACATTATGGAAAATTGTAATTATCTGATGAGGGGAGACCACAGACTAAACTAACAAAGATGAAATAGCACTCATCTGGGTGTTTCCCTTAAGGTACCCTTACTTATATTGGCAAAACAGCAAAGGAGAATTTACATGGTAGGTGGTAACATTGCACTAAGTATGAACATAGGTGTCTGCTGGCTCCTTGAATTCCACAAACAGAAGTATTTTCTTTTCTGAGGAAGTTTAGAAACAAACGCAATTGCTTATTTGGAACTCAAGCCAGAATGGGCTGTTTTACTCCTTTGAATTAAAACATAACAATAGGCAGCACAAATGGAATTGCTCATGTATGCTAAATTAAAAGGAATTTAAAGGAATTTATTTAATAAAACTGTCAAATGTTTTAGTATTTTAACATCACATTTGACAAAGAAGTTATTATGCCCTTTACCTTTTCGCCTGATGCATTTTGTCATCTCATAATTTGTATTGAAGATCTAAAGCAGTGGTTCTCAGTGGGGCTGTGCAAAGCTTCGGTCCCTGATTCGATTTGGCGGAGATTCGGCTCAATTCGGTGGCCAAATCTCCAAATCCGAATTGAATTAGGAGACCCTTTAATCTCTCTGAATTGAATCGGAACCCTCTGAATTGATTCAGAGAGATTTGGAAGAATTCAACGATTTGGACAGCTTTAAATGTTTTTTCTACATACCTCAAGGTACCAGGCGGCTTGTGAATGCTGAGATGCTGGGGCGCATGGTGTGTCCCACAGGAGTACAGGGGGCTCCCCAGAGCACTTGGCAGCAGACCTGGAAGTGGACCAGAAGCACTTCCGGTCCAGTTCTGGGTCTGACAGGGAGTGCACTTGGCACCCCACTCCTGCCTCCCCCCCCAGCCCGGCAACTGGTGCCTCCTGGGTCTGGGAGGGCACCCAGGGTCCCCCCATGGCCGATCACTGAGCCAGAGGGGCATGAGGGTGGGGCCCCAGCGCGCTCGGTGGTAGACCTGGAAGTGGACCACTTCCTAACTTCATCTGCCCCAGTATCGCAGCGTTCATGAGCTGCACCTGGTACCTCAAGGTACGTGGAAAAAACATTTTAAGCTGTGTCTATGGCCAAATCGCTGATTCTCCAAATCTTCAGATTCGGATTCAGCCAAATCGAATTGGGGACAGTGATCTGAATCAACACATTGAATCACTGTCCCTGATTCAGGGCAATTCTGAATCGAATGTGGCCCACTTCGCATACCCCTAGTTCTCAGCTGTTTTAGACACCAGGCACTCCTCATTAGACATAAGGTACCTCTCAGAAACTGCTAGCTCTTAGCTTCCACTCATTTTTAGACTATGGAAAAATAACAGAGAAATTATTCTGTTGCAAAGAACTTAGAAAGACCACAACAAGTCAGAAATATTTTTGACATTATGGATTCCTATTTGAAATTTCAGGATTTATCTTGTGAATCAGGTGTAGATGTTTGCACACCTAACGAAGTTAACATTGTATGGTTTCCGGTGGCAACTATAACATGATCTCACAGCATCATCTTTGAGAATTGCTGCTATAGAAGAAACAAGAAAGTAAGGGCCTGAGATATACTTTACTTTCTTAGGCCCTGTTTTACACTTACCACCTTTGAAATCCTATATTGCAGCTACAGTCCTGAAGGGCAGAGAGGACTAGATAGAATTGGGGATATTTCATGCCATCGTTGGCATGAAGAGGATGCTTTTGAGCTCCTTGGGGGCCAGAGTACAAGACTTGTACCAGGTTAGTGAAGTGAACCTGGGTCTCCCCAGAAATGGTAGAAAGAACTACTGTTAGGCCATCCCAAAGCCTTTTCTTTCCAGCCAAATTCAAAAGGGCCAACAGGCAAACAAGACTTAAGTAAATGCTATAACAGCTTTGATCTGAATCCTCGCATCACATAACGATTTGAAATGCATTATAACTCAAGCATAAAATATGGATTTCATGTCCTCCTGGAAACTTGTGACACTTTAAAAAATGCCTTAGACTAGGAACATTACATTATAATCTGAATTGCAAAGTACCTGCAAATCTGCCAACAAAAAGTAATTTTGAGTAATTCCTTTTTACATTATTTTAGATAATTGTAGTCATATTGTAAGTAGTGACTATAAAGAATTTTCCACTGTATAGGAAAGTATATAGAATAGGAACAAATGTATTTGTTACCTTAAAAGGTTGCATTCTTAAATCCCTAGTGGAACACTTACTTTTAACCAACAAATTTGAGCATCTGTGATGTTTTTAACATCAATATCATGGGGAGTGCATATACAAAATGTACAGGGTATGATCAGGTACCGTATTTGCTAACAATACTGCAAAACATACACCCTCTCCCCAAAAATCAACCCTCCAAAATTGGGGTGCACGTCTTAAACAGGGAAACTGATTTTCTTCCCTGGAATAGACGCATGAAGATGTTGTGCTGCGAAAGGGTAACCACTTTCTTTCGGCCAGCAGGCAGGAGGGATGGAGTCCAGTATTCATTCACTCTTTCACAGCTGCTCTCAGCTTGCTGACGAAAAGAAGCTGGCAACCATTTTACAGAACAACCTCTCCACAAAAAAAGCCAGCTCTAGGCCAGGACTCTGAAAAAGCCTTTTTTTCTACATCCTGCTTTCCAGAAAGAATGTATGCATCTTATTCAGGTGCATGTGGTGTGTGAGAAAATACAGTATTATTAAATCATTACAAAATCCACTTGAAGTTTCTCAAAGCCCAATCAAACAGGAGGAGAATATTTTGTGAAAACTTGCTGTTAGATGGGCAGTGTTTTGGAGATAGGTAGGCTTCAACAGCATGTTTCTTTTACATTCATGGCTAGTCAGATTTCTAGACTGACTTGTTCTAGGACCTCTGAGGATATTGTATTTTTTTTTCTCCAACAAGAATGAGTGCCCTTTAACTGTGGCTTGGTAAATTTTGCTTTTTGTTCTTGAAAAGATTGGGGCATGTGCATGGCTTAAACAAGGCAGTTGTTTATCTGTGGAAAATCTTACTCCAGCCAGATCTGAAAATGGAAACTTCTAAAAAAGAAAAAATCCAGAGAAAGATTTTGAGAATTTCTGCTGCTTTTTCTCAGAATTAAAAAAAAAAAATGGTTTACATATTTTTTTCTTTAAGGACTCCAGCCCTCAAGATGGAAAATGGTGCCATGACACCATCATGCCATTGCTTTTCTCTTGCATCTGTTATAAGACTGATTGATCTGACGTATACTTTTATGATATATTTTCATCTTTAGAATTACCGGTAGATGCTGATCAATCTGAAAATGAAAAGAAGGAATGCTACTACAATCTAAATGATGCTAATTTCTGCGATAATGTGCTGACAGCTAACGTTACCAAACAAGAATGCTGCTGTACTTTGGGTGCTGGTTGGGGTGATAACTGTGAAATCTTCCCCTGCCCTGTCTTTGGAACTGGTAAGCAAAGATTTTCTATCTACTTGTGACTTTTGAAGCATCCATGCTTAATGATAGGCAAAGCCTGGTTTAAATCATGGATTCAGCTCAGTAATATTGTGGCCCAATCGTGGTAGGGGCCACCATTTTCGCACCCAAATGCCCCCCCTACCACACCTCCCGACTGGCTGAGAGCCTCTTCCTCCCCCCCACCCCAGCTGCATCCTGGT